TAAAAAAAAAAAAGCATACTGCTCTCGATAGTACTGGCACTAAAGAGGCACACTAAAGAGGCATACAATTTTCCTTATATTTAATGCTGGTGATCACTAACAGCACAAAAGTAAGTCATTCTCTGGAGAAAATAGGACAGGAAACTAAAATCTTCTGAGTCGTTTTTGTGGGGATCAGAGCAGATGTGGGGACGAAGCTCATAGAACCTAGTGAATCATAACTTAACAGACCCCTTTAGATAATGGTTATATCGAAATTTTATCTTTTAAATTAAAAGCCAATCATTTACTTTGAGAAGACAAATGGACTACACCCTAAAGCAGAAATATGTGTTCATTTCTATGAACACACAGCTCTCATCACCGTGAGGGCTGGGAGCCCCAAACACCCCCAGTTCCCCTGTCTCAGGCGTTTCCTCCAACGAAGTGCTACCTGGTGACCTCGACTGTTCTAGTTCCACACCCCGGTCCCGTTCACTCAGCACTGGACGGACACACGACGGTCACAGCAGCAGTATACGTGTCGGAGGACACGCTTGCCGGTGAGGAGAATCATGCTCTACGGTTCCAGCTGACATAATTGGTTGCTATGGGCTTTGGGAGGAATTCAGAATCTAAACATCATTTCTAGAGTCTCTCTCCCTCCCGTCTCGATAACAACCTTGAACTGCAGCACTCCGCAGCCGCTTTAAAACCACAGAGGGGCGAATGCACTTCACAGATCTCTCGCCAGCTGTTCGGGTCACAATCTCCAGAACGATGCTCTGGGCTCCAGGTCTCGGATTCAATGCTGATACAGGTGGCACCATTAAGAGAACAACTCAAGAATACACAAAATCCAGATGGAGAGGTTAAAATCCTCCGGATTCCCCTTCGCTCTAACTGAACCTATAAAATCTGCATTTTAATAGCTGATTTTCCGGGGATCACACGATTTCTTTTCGCAGATGCCCTCGCTGGAATTAATGGGAGGAGGACGGAAAAGCATATGCTTAAATGCCTGGGGGGCAACTGTAACAAAGGACGAAATTACAGTTTATTAACACAATTCCAGCACTCGGAGCATATTGCTTGCTCTGAATATTCCAGAAGGAACACGCCTTACACAATCGGGTCTCTGTAACTAATGTGCTTAGAGACTTTACGAGGGTGAGCGTTACCAACTCAATGTTGGCCAAGACAGTCACTAGCGTTTAGACATCTGCTTTAAAGAGAGGCATCGCTTCCACCTGCTTGTACCGGCCACAGAGACACACTCTAGTTAACATATTAGTGACAGGATGATGAGAAGGCTCCTGTCAGATGCTGGCCAGCCGGGTGTTTGAGACAAAACGCACAGCCCCAGCTGACTAGTTAGAGAAAGTCTGGTGAGGTACAATTATAGAGGCGTGTGACAGGACTTCACGCCCGACTGATTTGAGAACCGATGACATGACTTTAAACAGAAATCCTCCCTACCTCTGGTCTCAAAACAGCAATAAGTCAGCTGATAGATTCTTGTAACATCATGATTTATTCCTTTGCTTTGAGGACTTGAGACTGACACGATATCTGCTTGTCCACCCGAGGGGTACTTGAGCTTGAACATCGAGGGCCTGCCTACAGCGAGGGTAAACTCAGTGTCCTCCTTCGGGATGACCAGGGTCCTTCCATGTGCTTGATCAACAGAATAAATGCAAAGCTGCTTAAGGTTCCAAACACATAAAAATGCAATCGTGGGTCCTGACAAAATATCACACTCTAAGATACGAGGGGGGACCCATTAAAAATTTGAAAACATAACAAGACTCTTCGCATTCTTGCTAAACATATCTCAAAACTCATTATTTTTATTTTAAAGTTTATCTCTATAACGATAATGATAAATTACCATTTTAATGCCCAAGAGCACTTGAAGAAATGAGCCTTCAAGTAAGCGGACTCTCTGCCAGAGCATCACCGCAAAAACTCCCAGCAAGCTGTAAGGTTGACAAACACAGTGCTCATAAAATATGGAGGTCAAGGAGTAGACCCGAACAAAACTCCTAAATCTACAATAAAATAATGAATGCGAACGCATCTTAATTTACGTGAGTTCTTCCGATAATTAAAAATTTGGCGATAGATTTTTAAAAATGGGTAAAACTCAATCTCTTGCATTTATGACATATAAAATAACATAAGAATGTAAAAAGCTGAGGAGCAGGCAGTTCATCGACACCTTAACTAGTCCTCCTTTGAATACTTAAATCTACAATAAAATAATGAATGCGAACGCATCTTAATTTACGTGAGTTCTTCCGATAATTAAAAATTTGGCGATAGATTTTTAAAAATGGGTAAAACTCAATCTCTTGCATTTATGACATATAAAATAACATAAGAATGTAAAAAGCTGAGGAGCAGGCAGTTCATCGACACCTTAACTAGTCCTCCTTTGAATACTTCAGAGGTTTTACTAAAGTCTTTCTACAAATTAATATATATAT